CATGGAAGAGAAACATATACATATTTTTTCTATATTGAGATAGTGTTACAGGATGTGCTGATTGATCGACTTTTGTCCTACGTATTTTTAATCTAGGAATTCCTAAGTCCTCAAATCTTTCATTATCAAAAGTTTCTTTCAACATGCTGTTCAGATTGATAAAATCAAGTGTAAATCGTAGGTAAAGTTGACCAGACATGGTGTGCTTCAGGACCTAGGTGATAATGGCCACCGAGTAACATCAAGAAGCTACTTTTGTTCGAACTCACGGGGGTGGGGTGTGGATGTAGGGTGTGAGTGGATGTGGGTGTGGATGAAGAGCATATCTTCATCTACATCCCACACCCACCCACCCACACCCACACTCGCACCCACCCACACCCACACCCACACCCACACCCCACACACCCACACACCCACACCCACACCCACACCCAGCCACCCACCCTCCTTATATGGATAATATGAGTTTCACATTTCAGCTCGAAATGAGGTGCACTAACAAGCTCTTTTACTGACATTCTTTCTTGTTACATTGACAACGAATGTGAATCGCCGTAGTCTCGATGGTGATCATCACTAAGAGCATATGAAATATGCTTTAGTAGAGAAATGGACTACAGCGATTTGTGAAGTAACTGGGTGATTAAGATTGTTGGCTTCTTTTCATACGCCCGTCTATCCACCAACACCCACACCCAAAAATCGATAGTGTTACAGATTTGAATCCTACAAGGATTTGATTGAAAGTTGTATAATCTGTGATAGAACCTTAAGTATATTACTGAATGAATTTTTGCAGCCGGCGTCGTGTCAAATGCATCGTCGAGTAGCGCGGTAAGCAGCAGTGCGGCAATTGCTGGGGCAACGAATACTACTATTACATCGGCAACAAGTACTACGACTAGCATATCAACTACTAGTACTACTTCTTCAACAGTCAGTACTAGTACTACATCAACTACACGCACAACGACTTCAACTACAAGTAGCTCTACAACTTCGACAAAGAGTACTAGTACCACATCAACTGTAACTAGTACAAGCACAACAAGTGAGTTTTCAATTCATTCATAGCAGTATCACATATTCTGAAGATTGGAGATGCTAGAGAAGTATAGGGATATGCGGAGATGCATCTCCCTCATGCGTATTAGGCTAAAAGTCGAAAGAAATTTTGTTCATTAGGAGATGTTAGGACAGATGTTTATATATGCCTATAATAATGTAATAGTCTGCTCATACGTACTTTTGTATATTCTGCATCTCCTTATACTTCTCTTACATCCCCGATTTTCGGGATATGTGAAACTTCTCTTTATTCAATAGGATTTTGAATTAAGTCTGAATCTGCACAAAATACATCTGAGATACTTGTGAAGCTAGTCGGTGAAAAAAAATATTTTTTCATTGAAACCTGTAGTAGAAAGCTTTTCTTCTGTTCAATTGAACCAATAAAATTTTCTATATAGTTTAAGGAAGATTATGATTGTAATGTTTATAACAGAAATTGACAACAACTAATGAGTAAAATTTAGCATAACTTTTTCACTCTCATATGGTTGTTGCTTCAAGATGCAAATTATCTTTGGAGACTGCTCCTAAAGTATTTCATTGGAAATTACAGATAGTGTTTTTCCGGGTTCAAATAATATCATTACCTTCTCGAACATATAAAAGTTTTTTCGACATCACTTTATTGGCTCTTTGCCAATGCTCAGTCCCACACTCACAATAGTATCCAATTAATATGATGTGGCTCTAAATTTCGATCTGTAATAAACAATCAGAATATAAAAATGGTATAATTTGCCAGAATTTGAATAGGCTTGTGCCACTAGCAATTAGATAGGAGTATAGTTATTCTTCTACAATAATAGATCACATGGTGACATCATGTGGTCTCTATTGCTTTTGCAGCTACCAGCAGCGCGTTTTGTTGGAATTCAACGGCTACAACTGTGGCGGGCGTGAGTGGTGTGCCAGGCACAACTGCCAATCGATTTGATCGTCCTTTCGGTGTTGCATTGGATTCATCAAATGCACTTTACATTTCCGATCAAAATAATAATAGAGTTCAGAAATGGTTAGCCGGTGCATCAACAGGTACGACAGTGGCAGGTCAAGGAAGTGGAGTGGCAGGAATGACTTCGAATAGCTTAGATATGCCTAGCGGTATTTTACTGGATTCAAGTGGCAATATCTATGTGGCCGATACCAAGAACAATCGAATTCAATACTGGTTTCAGGGTGCATCTTCAGGCATGACGATTGCCGGCATTACAGGTAGAATGACAAGATAGTCAAGCAAAAATATGCACAGCATGAGAATTTTTTCGCAATGCTGTAGTAATTGAAACTAAGAACTTTCTCAAAAAATGTCATATATCATTTTTTTGCTCATCTAAACTTGTCTGATTTCAAATAAGAAATTCTATTGAACATTTCTACCATGCTCCATGAATGTTATGCTTCTTTCTTTGTTTGACTGGCCTGCGCGTTTGTTATAGGTTCTGCTGGCTCAGGAAACAATGAACTAACGAATCCGTATGGTATTGCACGAGATCCAAGTTCGGGTACACTATACATAGCAGATCAGAGCAACCATCGAGTGATGAGCTATATAGCTGGCGCATCATCAGGAACTGTAGTAGCTGGGGGCAGTGGTTTAGGAACAGGTATCACACAGCTTAACTATCCAGTGGGTGTCTACTTCGATGCATCGTCAAACAGTCTCATTATTGCTAATACTGGTGCTAATAATATCGTTCGTTGGGTATTGGGTTCCAGTAGTTGGACACTTGTCGCTGGTAGCATAAGTGGAGCGGGTGGTAGTAATGCAACGTTACTCAACTATCCAGTAGGCGTGACAATGGATTCCATGGGCAATATATACGTAGCCGACAGAAACAATCATCGGATCCAATTTTTCTTGGCTGGTCAGTCCATTGGAACAACAATTGCTGGTATCACTAATAGAGGTGGAAATAACTCTACCTTACTTTATAGTCCGCAATTCATACAAGTATCACCTTATTTTGCTTTCATAATTCGTCTCATTATCAAAGAAGCAAACCAAGCGGATTGATTGAACCTCATCATATTGGAATACTTTCTCATATTCGATGGTACTTGATGCTCAACTCAATTTGTACGTAGCAGATACATATAACCATCGGGTACAAAAATTCATGCATTGTTAAACAACTCATTTCTCAATCGTTTTCGTCTTCTGATAGGACATTCATATCACTCTTATTTATAACTTACTATTTTTCCTGTTACATGGATTGTCAGAGGCTTCGCCATCATACTATGTTTGCTTGTTTTCTTTCTATTCACGCGCCTTCTTCTCTTTCCTTGGATACGATATCGTTTCTTTCTTCATGTTAGATCATCTCTCTGTTTGATATGATATCTTTTTCGATCTTTATTTCTCTCGTTAAGGTGGGCGATGTGTTGTATATGTGTTGACCTTGATTTAAAAATAAAAGGAAAAAGCCTGTACAAATAGACGCTTTAATATTTATTGCCGTGACCATTATTTTTGTTACGGATCAATACTAAAAATCTTTCCAAGTAAAAGAAAATCATTTTTTATTTGTAGCGTATTTTTCTCCTCTTTTACATTGAGTGTATATCAAATGGCTAAGACGAACATTTTGTTTTGCAATTATTTATTTCACCAAGAGGACATTCTTACTAGGAAATAGTCTGTATCATTTTAGGGTCCGTAGGTAGTGAATAAAAGAGGAAATTCTCTTTGATTATCTGATCCACAAAAACATAATACATGCATTGACATAAACGGATGATTATATTAAGAACAATAGCTTACAATTTATAAAGTATTGATAATAATTCGGAACTAATCGGTGATTTACTAACAGAGACATCGGAACGTGTAGTGGAAAAATGAACTGTGGAATTATCAACCAATACTCTGGAACATTCCCATTAACATGTTCTAATGATGCCGAACAACGTACAAGACTCAGCAACGATGATATGCTTTCGTGAATTCTTAATGAATTTAGAAAACTTTGAAGAAGGACAAGACCCAGAAATTTTACGATTTATTAATAATATTGAATGAATTGGAAAAATGATTGTTGCAAATGATGACATTTTATATTGCATGTGCACAATAAAATTAGATGGCGAAATCATGTGCTCGTATGAGGACAGCATACCAATAGCTCGATGGGAAAATTTAAAATCAGCATTATTGGAGAGATCCACAACATCAGATTCATCATCAAAAATACTCGAAAAATTGAAGTAACACAAACACATAGCAGATGAAATAGTTACATCGTATTATGATGTGATTATTAAAGAGATATTCCCACAATTCAAAAATTGGAAATTCAAGGAATTCAAAAGATGTTGATATCTTTCACATAAACTGCTTATAACCTCCATAGAAGACAAGGAATTCAAGGAACTCGAGGAAAATCTAAGAATTTAAGAAGTTCAAGATATGATGATATCTTACAACTGCTTTTGAATTCCTTGAACTCCCTTGAATTGCCAATTTTTGGACCGTGGATATCACTGTTATTAAATTGTGTCACGAATACGATCCATGTATGTCACAAAAAATGATGATATTGTGGTTGGAAAATGGAATTAAAGATTCGTTAAAAACTTAAACTAAACGCCAAATAAAATGATGATCTAAATCGCACAAACCACGCAAGCATGTTTAAAAAGCTCGAAGAATGAACACGAATCGCAAGAGGATAATTTTCTAAAATATGAACAAACACTGTCATATATGCCGTACTGCACAAATACAGTATCAACAACTTTATGACACAGGATAGTATATGTCGAAACATCCGCATTCCTTACGAACAATTACGCTACATAAATCTACAAATGAATTCCTCCAACGACTACAAAGTCGTCAGTCGTGCTCACGACAGTGTTTGTTCGAAATTAAGCCACAATCATCAATATTTTGCTGCAGTACACTACAGATTCAATTAGAAAATGTTACATCCATCAATTCATTGAACATTAGAGTGTAGGCAGATGTGAATATGTGGGTGTCGATGTGGGTATCGCTGGGATATATGTGTGGATGTCGGTGTTTGGTATTTTCTGAATCCAAATTCTGCACCCACATCCACACACTAATATCCACACCCATCCCCACACCAAGATCCAGACCCACACTACACCCACACCTTTCTCATAATATTCTTGCGGTTAACTAGATTGTCAGTTACTGAATTGCTTAGAGAATTATTTCATCTGCAAAGTGAGCTAGAGTAATAAATAGAATATGTGACATGGCCGGGAACACATTTTAAAGTTTTACTGGCTCTATTTGAATGACAGTGATAATAGGAAGGGAACAAAAAACACGATAGACTTTTTGCTTCCGTTATCTAATGAAAATCATGGAACAACAAGACAATTAGTAAGTAGAAGTTTGACTTAATTGCGTCGCTTTGGTTTTATAAAGAGCCAAACAGAAAAAAGTACAATAATAACTAGTCCCAATCTTTGAAGAAAGATAAGAATTGTTCCTCTAAAAGTTATCGAGAACCAAATGACAAATATAGAAATGCAAATGTAAAATATTGCTTTTCTCTTCCGCGCGGAAGCCTCTGTTAACTCTCGATTTAAGCGTCGCTCACGATGTAATTGAAGGATAGCTGATCTTGAAAATATCGTTTCTTGGGGGGTTCTTAGGCGTAAATCCGAAAATTGTTGTTCATCATTTTGTAAATATATATCTGGCTGTTCATGATTAGTATGAACAATTTCAGCAGGAGGTACCACTTGTGTTTGATAAGATGTTACTTGATGATCATGTTTTGATTGCGTTGGTCTCTTTTTAAAATGCCAGCGATTGTGAAATAAACGTGACAGAGTCTTCATTCGACTTTTAGAGCATCGTTCTAAATGTTTCGCAAAATCGATTCGTTTAATGCCAGTCTTCTTGCATCGAACACATCGAATAAGAAGAGAATCCAGTTGATTGAAGAGAATGGAATTTGTCATTGTAGTTAACTTGTATTTTGTCACAAATTGACGACGACATATTGGACATGACGCATTTGTTTTGATCCATGTTTCGATACAAAATTCACAAAATATGTGCTGACAAGCAAGACTAACGGGAGATTGCAATGGTTGAGTACAAATAATACATTTGAGCTCATCATCAATAGCATCTTCGTCCATATATTCATATTTATTTATCGACAGTGTCATGCTTTTTTTTGAGTAGTGTGCGTTTGTCAACGTTTATGCAATGACAATGACAATATGTTGACTTTTAACGGCACAAACTGACGACATACTGTCTTTCTATTTGGATTTTTACCTGTAAAAATGCTGAGTCAAAGAAAGGGTAAAACGACGGTCGAGAACTAACTCATTCGACAGACTGTTCTTTTTCTTCACAAGTGCTGTGAAAAATATAGCACATATCATGCCTTATCGTTCGCTTCTTTGTTGGAATAAAAACTGTGAATAACAACCGCTATCGAAGAAAACTGCTGGTTGTAGATAGTAAAACTCGGCTCAGTTGGACAAGGTCAATGTACACTATTCATATTTAAATGCAGAATGCTATTCTCTACAACCATTTCGCCGAATAGAAAAAAATCGGAGAAATTTTGTGTGCATCATCATTCCTTTTCTTCTTTCTCCTACTTTCGTTAATGAGTCATTCTTCATTGTCCTATCAGATGGTGTGCAGTAATGGGTGGGGGTGGTTGCGGGTACAGATTTGGGGTTAAACTCACACCCTTGATATTGTAAGTTCTATTCAGAATGCCATAGTGTATACTGTTCAGCCACAATTCATGCTTTTATTTGACTTGACGATAGAGAAGACTTCAGTTTCTTAGCTATTTTGAATTCAGAGATATTTTTTCACCAGACCAACCATGAACTAATATTTATCTAATATTACACATCTCGCGAAAACAATTTTTTAGGAAACAGCGTTCAACATACACTTTTGGAAAGTCGCGCTGTTTTTGCGTCTCAAGGCATCGCTTTTTATGCGCAATTCATCTGACGTAATGATTTTCTTTCCAACGCATTTGGATGCATGTATTTTATCTGCAATGCCCACTTTTAAGGTGTAAAACATCTTTACAGTACTGCCTCTCGAGTTTCGTTGAGAATGCAGGTGTGGCTTATCTTTTCACCAACGGCCACGCACTCATATCCGATTCGCACACCCACACGCTTGACTTGGGCCGCTGTCAGATGAATTAATATGCAAGTCTCCAGTATTTTCTTCAAGAAATTCTTTGCAAGAAAAATAACTTTCACTGTCAGACTGTTCACTAAGGGAGATGAAGGTTCTCTCCTCCCCACAAAAAACGTTCGACTTTCTGCGACATGTTAGAATGTTTTCTGTGAATTTTTTTACAGCGACTGAGGAGATTTCGACAGAAAATGAGTTTTGAAATAGTGTTGTTTTTTTTCTGGCAGAAAGAAAATAATAGTAAGCAGACCCTATTGTTATGAGATGAATAGGGTTGCAACAGATCTGCTGGTACGGGTGGAGAGGACAGGGTAGCCAAATCGTCTCCAAAGTGAAACAAGTTTCTGAATTTTGAAAATGTTTCTGATTTTGGTACTTTCTGCGAAATTTGTCTGACTTTGTTTCAAATATTAAACATTTGTAGATTATAACTTCGTTAGTAACATAAAAAATGATTGTAAACCAGTACCATGATAGATCAATATTGTTTCATCTTCTTGTTCTCTAAGTCATCGGCAATCTCAACATTAAACAACTACCATAGAGAAAATTTAATGTACTTTTATATCTTTATCGTATAGAAGTAGCATGCGGAATCCGCATAAAATTCCTATCATTAATACAGCCAACTTTGCTTGTGAGCTGAAGGTTAATTAGTTTCTTACCCTTAATCCATTCTGATTTTCTTATCGTAGATTACACCTATAAATTAATGGATCATCTAATGAACGATGCTAATATGAGTGAAGATGATAGTAAAGTTGAACACATTGAAGTAACATCATAAAAAAATCGGATCTTCTAACCTAGATTATTTGATGTCTATTTAATTTATTTTGCACCTTTTTGTGAATGAATTTCAATTTTAGTGACAGAATTCGGCACTAAGTGTCTTTTGTTTGTGCTTTTATACTAAGTCAACAAAACATTCATTGTATTGTCTTTTTTCTACACTGAAATACAAATGAAAATAAACTATAAGTCAATCAATGGAAACTCAGTAAAACATTTGATAACAACATGTTTACATAATCGCCACTTATTTGTATGAAATTGCTTTTTCTGATTAGTTTCTGATTAATTTCTGGTTTTCAAGAAAAATTCTGACTTCTTTGTTTTTGATTTTGCAATTCCACACTCTGAAAATTAGAGTACTTTCTCCCAAATGTTGAGTTTCTCCATTACTGGAGACATTCACAATTTTGATGAGATGTGAGTGTGGAAAAAGTTTCCCTTTAAAGTTTATTGCTTCCTATAAAAAACTGAACTTATGCCATCCATGCCAACACCGATATTCATATTGTGTTATCACTTATTTGATATTTTAAGAATTCGTCTTTCTTTGAAATCCTGTTTGATCTAGCAATGTTCTTATTCGAGAATCATTTTTTCAATGAGCTTTTCAATAATAATAGTCATAGTTTATGGCTTGAATTTTATGCCAATTCGATTATTATAGCTTCATAGGTGATCGAACCTATATTTTTCATTTCAAGTGAGATCGGTCCATCTAACCAAGTCACATATCCAGTTTCTCCAGTACCAGATGAAAATGGAAAATTTTGATTGGGCTTTTTGTTAGTAATTTCCAAATGAGTATTTGCTAATGAAATAAAAACACCACAGAAATCAAGTAGATGCTCACCAGTTGTCTCATTTGGAGCTAGTTGAAGTCGGTATACACGGCATCTCGGAATATTAATGTTTGAAATATGTTCATATTTATTATGCTGTAAAACAATATTAGAAGAAAATGCTTTATTTTGTAAGATTTCCGAACCAACAAACCAAGCATCAGAAGGGCTCTCATTTAAACATTCAACACGGTGTGTTATAGGTTTTAGACGGTATTCTCCAGCGAAACAATCTCCAGTTGTATACTCTTGTGGTAAAATGTTCGAGCCTAGCAGTTGAGTTCTGCAGAGCGCGCCAGCAATGACAACATAAACAGTATTTTCTTTGTGTCGATGAAACATTGTGGTAGTATTTCGTGCCAATTTGGCCACAAAAACATTGACATATGAATTTCTAATGATTGGTACGTGACAAGGCTCCTCTAACACTTCGACAAAATCAACTCCGACTGATGGACACTTTATTGTGCTTAGAGCCATATGTATTATCCACAATCTAAACAGAAAAATAGCAGATAGAAGTCAGTTTCTTTTCATTTATGTAGAAATATACAAAGCAATAATACACAAGAAATTGAACAATGGAAAATTTTCATGATTATCATGAATTTTTTATCAACAACAAGGAAAACATGTCATATCTGATGATTAAAAGGACAATTATTTTGATCTATTTCAAATTAGTCGATTAATAGGAATTGTTTAAAACGAAGCGCATGCAATGATTTCGAAAAAAAATTAAGATTTGTATTTGTTTCATCAGTTTAATGCAATTTCTTTGATTTCCAAGTCCCTGTGTTGTCTCTTATTATCTTCTATAGTGCTAAAATCTGTAAATAATTCAAATAAAGTCATCATATTTTAGTACAGATTTTTACAAAGCCGTACTTGATGATGAAGCCTTTCGAATAGCATATTAATATCATTGAATTTCACCAACTAGAAAATCATAAGTTTAGCGTGACAAGTCAGGCTCTAAATAACTAGGTAGTTCATAGCATATTTCTTGCTAAAAACACTGATACTTAACGAATAGATTCTAGTGTTAATAATCAGAGATGTGTTGTATGAAATAAACGCACATTATGCACCACCCACATACCGTAAAATGATCATTGTCTTTTCTAATTCAGTCTAAAGAATAATTAAACAATGCTATGCGTATGAAGAAGAAGATGAATATGTGACTGTTTGATAGTCGATGCACAAATCAAATACAAAAAAAAAACGCTTCAGAAAAAGTACTTAATCTTTTACGAACAAGAATGAAAATATTGACAGAGATTATTACTTCGATCGTCTACTTAATTTAGATAAAGAAATCTAAGCCCTTTGCTATATGGATTAAAAGAATTATGTTTGAATTAGTCAACTTTAAAGGACACGAAAAACTGTGTATAGATTATGGAAACTATTCGAATTTAAATTAACATACAAGATTCGTTTCATTTAAGTCAAAATTCATTTAGTAGTTCTTATCTTACTCGATCAGAAATTAGAGGCTAATTTATCATAAAAGTCATTGAAAGATTTATGTTATTGTGTTTATACTTTTATTCTTAGTTATTGACCAGAAAAAAAGAATAAATGATTAGAATTGTAATTTTCAGACAAAACTGTTGCATTATTCTCGTAACGTATTTTAGAAATTTTTCGTTACAAACTTTCAAAGAAATTTTTACATGATGCTACAAGATTCAAGCTTTTATCAAACACTTTCATTTGTTACATCTTATTTTGAGAAAATTGTACATTCAGATTTCCTGTATATATGTTCAAGGTCAAAATCACAATGAAACAGCAACACATTATTCGGGTGTGGATGTGAGCATGTTTCTTTTGTATTAGATCATCTACATCGACGTAGTAAGCAAGATCTTGTGTATGATACCTTTTATGAATTTCTAGAAAAATTATATGAACTTCCAGAGTTCGGTCCCAATTTCTACAAAACGAGGTAACGGCGGCTATGAAGATACAGGAATTAATGCAAATAATTTCCAAGAACTTCTAATTTCCGATTTACTAAGGATGCCACTAAATTTTGATACACCGGTCTTCTCATATTGGAAGGGCATCTTTCCACCTAAAAACAATCAAATGCTGCATACATAATGCGGCTGATTTATGCAAGTTCTTCGTCGCACTGACTTATCGCTGGATTTATGATAAATCAAGCACCGATTAAGTGTATCTTAATCGCAAGAGAACAGTTTTTGAGTGTAACTGATAAGCGAACGTCAAAGAAAAATAGACGTCAATGTAAAATATTCGAAGTAAAGTGATGAATATTGAAGATACCGCATTTAAAGAACGAGAATAAACGGAGAAAGACGTTGTTCAAATTGACTTTCGTGAAAAGGACGAGGTTTCTTAAGATGAAAGCATCTTATTATTTAATCTGCTTGGCGACTGTTATCGTTGTCGAAGCGAGGATGATACGAACTCAAACTGGT